TTCATAACATAGCAAAGGAGCCTAAACCTGCCTGTCATGTTTGTGGACATCACCAGCATAATATTGTTTAGTAATGTCATAATGTCAATAAACTTAAAATGTACCGCCAATCCAAGCAATAATCGTAGAGACATTTCTGTGTGATTCTTCCGATCTCATTTTCATATACAGGAGGTACCGGGATATCAATGATGAATGATGAAGGTGTGATTGCATTGAGAGAAGGACCAGGAGATACAGTTCAAGGTTAGTATTGTCCATGTAATGGTCATCCATTAATGCACAACCCTACTTGGTCCGCGTCAGCGATATTGTCGCTTATCTTTCAGCTTTGTTTTTACGTCGCCAAAGCTCACTCGGCAGCCCATTTCATCCCAATTTTGGTTAGTAAGTTAGTTTACTAGTACCTGAAAGGTCTAGCTACAGTTCGAGTGGATTTCGAGAGCGACGGGTGGGTGATTCTGATTGATACAGCGCTGAATCAAAATAGATTATCTTGTTACGCTGTGCAGGCAAGAGCAGCGCAAGCCACAAGAAAGTAATCGGCTACTCGGAATCAGCTCCATTTTGCTGAACGGCCGAGATCGCTCACCTCAGGGATCGCTCCTCAAGCTGAGATCTCAGCTCCCTTACCTCCTACTCAACGCTCGGAGTATCCAGCGCGTCGTGGAGATTTGCAAGTACTGTACGCGTCGTCGTCGTCGTTCAAAATAAATCTTGCAAAGAACGGCGTCTGATTTGAACCACACAGGCTGTCGTACTGCCCACGAGAAGTCCTATAGAGAAGGCGACCGTCACGATCGACTTCTGTTTAGAAAATAGCCAGGCAGCGGAGAGGAAGAGAGATGAGCTTGCAAAAGAAAGAGAGTCGAACCCGAGCAAAAATATTTGTCACCAGCGTCGAGAGCAGCGACGAAGAGGACCGAAAAAAGTAGGAACCCTTCCTTGGACAATAAATTCCTTACAGCTAGTTGTCATTCTATACCTTACCGTCCATCGCACCAAGTTTTATCACTTCAAGTGCACGTGTTCATGTCCAAAGTCTAAGTTCAAATTATCGAAAGATAAGCGACAATATTGCTGACGCGGACCAAGTAGTTAAGGGAAATATATGCTCGAAGTTTATCAGCACGAGCCTTTCAGCGCTAGCATTCCAGCACAAGCATCACAGCGTCCTGTACATTAGGACTACCTTTCTCAGCGTGGCAAAACTGAGCGTCCATAGAGTTAACGAGGAAAATCCCAGCCTGACAGTAAAACCCACTGAGAATTAGAGCGCCGTGGAAATGAGTGCCTACAAAGTCAGTACAAAATACACCAGCGGGAGAGAAAGGTGCGCAGTTAAGTTAGTACAACCGGATTGGGCAGTGATCATTGTTATTTATGTGCCACACTCAGGGGCATCACACACTTTATGACCGGTAAGACCATGGTCGTACCACTTTTCATACGACTCCAGGGTATATTCTAGTGCGAATTTCCAACCGGTTCCGTTCGAATGAAGAGTGGGGGGGGGGGTGCGGGGTCTCCCCTGGAAAAAAATTTCAAAATACAACCCAAATATGGCACTCGACAGCAATTTAAAAGATTTCTTGGTGCTGGAGTGTAGCAAAGATATAAGCAGCTCCATTCACCCACAGAAAAGTACGGGCGGTTGGAACTGATTTGTAACTTTTCAACCGGTCGCCAACAATTTCAACCGGTCGAAAACCGGTTGGGGCGATTCTAGAAAATTCCCTGGACTTAGTCTGCCCAATTCATCCAAAAAGCAGTGAAAAATTCATAGGATCATGCACTTCTACTTCGAAGTACATGCACTTGTACATAACTTACACTGTGCACATAACTCACGGAGTTGACTTGGAGTAGACCAGGGTATGCATATGTGCCCTTTATTGGTACTGTTCTGCCTGGACCCACGGTTGCTGCCAGTAGATTAGTACACCGAGTACTAGGTACAGTCGTCCCTCTCTAATCCGGCACTTGTTTATCCGGAACCCTTGCCAACCGGGGCACTTTCTGACAAAACCGATTATTTTCGTTCAATTCCTACATCTTAATCCGGCACTTGAATTCCGCCTCCAGCAGTGACTTTTTGAAACGAATCGTTGAAACTGCACGTAGTTTGATTTTATAATCCGGCAGTCGTAAATCGCGTACCGTACAGGTGCACTCCTTGCCAGGCCTAGGCCAGGCTAGGCTTGTCCAGGAGACAACGGCAGTCAACCATACTTTCTTGTTTTAGCAAGGAGTAGTGTCCTGCCAATTTTCAGGTGTGTGTGTGTGTGTGTGTGTGTGTGCGTGTGTGTGCAAGAGTACATGTGAACATGTTCTCTGTTTTACTTTATCACTTTATCACTGTGTATATTCCTGGAGAACAATTGAGAATATAAAGCCGTGCACCAAATACTTGGGTCGACACGGAAAAACCCTGCGTTTTGACGTACATATGATACATGCATGCAATTGGGTAGGGTCGGGTCAGAGGGCAGGATTTCTTAATCCAGCACCCGCGTTAATCCAGCAGAAAACGCCGTAGCAAAAGGTGCCGGATTAGAGAGGGACGACTGTAGTTGTATTTATTGCTGGGTGCTATGTGCTATGTAGTTACATTGATTGTTGCTGAAGTGTCCATGTAAACATGGTAGTCTAGATGTACATGTATGTCTTCAGCTCACACACGCACTCACACACACACACACACACACACACACACACACACACACACACACACACACAGACACACACACACACACACACACACACTCACAGAGTCACAAAGACAGTATACTATGCAACGAACACCTAGCCTACAGGATACCAGTTGATCAGCTATGGTAGATGTATGAGGTGTTGTTATGTCATGTCGGCATGGAGACGGCCTTTCCAGGGAAACTGGAGCCGCGAAAGAACTCAGTTCTGATTTGACTTGCTTACTTTTCTGTTTTGGTGAAACAATGTCAGTATGAAAGGGAGGACGGCCTATGCATTGTAACTGGAGCTGCGAAAGAACTGTCTGCTTGATTTACTTAGTTTTCTGTAGTGGCGAACCAATGGCAGGATGAAAGGGAGGACTGCCCCACATAATCAAATTATAGACCTGAGAAATGTCGCAGAGCATGTGATTTCAGCAGACGTGTCACATGATTGGCAGACACTGGCTTGAACAGTGCTAGGATAAGAAGTGCTATGGAAATGTTCTGCGCTGACACTCAGTGCATGACCACAGATACGTAGCGTGCAGATAATGTGGTGCAACTTCAAGAGATTCAGTAGCAGATATGCACGTTGTACAGATGTATGAAGTTCTGTACTAAGGTCGTAGGTGTGTACAGACCCGGCTGGGTATTCATTGTGTGATATATATGCGCATTTCACCAATTTTAGCATCATAATTAATGGCAAACATTCGCTTTTCCAGCTTCTTCACTTTGGTTAGAACTAAAAACTAGCTAGATCTTTGTCGGGGGGGGGGGGGGGTTGTAAGAAATGCCTTCAGGGCCCATTTCTTAGTGGAAATAGCAGTAAACACAATAGGGTCGTGCACATTTTAAGGGGAAGTTAAGCCTAAAGTCAAATTTTCACCAGTTGTAGTCTTCGGGGTGCTGAGCCGAATGGTCTTGGTCCGAGGAAGCTGAGACGCTCCCTTCCTTCTTTAATCCCAATTGAACTCGCGCACTTCCACCGAAACTGGGTGACTGCGCCCTACTAGATGGGGATTTGTATGCAAAATAGGGGTGAAACGGTTCGGGTAAGGAACCGGTTTTGGAACCGCCAGCTGAAAAGAATCGGGTGCCCGTTCCGTCAAATTTCGAACCGAAACTCGAAGAATCTCGTTCTTGTACAAATACATGTACACATCAAGTCTACTCAAGATTTTAAATGTCTTACCTTACGATCCCTACTCTTCCAAAGGGTTCTCTGGTCATTATCTTCTTCGCACTTGGACTCTCCGATGTCTCATTCTTGTCTCATTCTTGCTCGTAAAAATGTTTTTCTAAAAAATAATTGTCGCGAACGCATTTTGTTGGTCTGGAGAAAAGAGTGCATGGAACCGATACCCGAACCGTGGGAAACAATGCTGGTGTTCGGATACCCGAACATGAAAAACATGGAACTGTTTCACCCCAAATGCAAAATGTCACTAAAAGCGCCATTTCGTTCTTATAAAAGCACGGATTACCGCGTTTGGCCCATATGTTGTAGTCTTTTGGACGCTGAGTCGACTGGTTTTGGTCCGAAAAGGCTGCGATGTAGCGTTCGGCCCTTATTCCCAATCGAACGTGGTTGAACAAGCGGTCACGTGCTCCACCAGTCACCTGGTTACCATGCCAGCAGGCGACGACTTTCACACCAAGGCTCAACTCAAAGGTTCAAAGGTTCAACTCGAGTGACATAAGCTCGTCCAAACATGCTGCAAGTAAAAGCCCGCAGGCATGGTGACCAGGTGACTGGTGTACGCTCGAGCACGTGTAGGGCGCAGTCACCCAGTTTCGGTGGAAGTGCGCGAGTTCGATTGGGATTAAAGAAGGAAGGGAGCGTCTCAGCTTCCTCGGACCAAGACCATTCGACTCAGCACCCCGAAGACTACAACTGGTGAAAATTGATTTAAGGCTTAACTTCCCCTTTCATACCCAACCGGGTCTGCGTGATTCTACGAGATTCTACGGGATGTTGTGTATCTGTACAACGTGCATAAGGCTTTAAAAAAACCATCCTCTTCTAAGGGTTAATTTGCTCAAATGCATAGCAGTCAGTTAAATTCCAATGAAATGCTTGTGCTCAAATGGTCCTGCTAAACTGTTCATGTTGAAATTCTGGTGCTGAAAAAGGATTATTCCGGGTGTTGTAGGCTAGTTAAACCCAATTCAACGTGAACATATCCTTCCCATTTTCTTTAATGACTTCTTCCTGATATCTAAATCACATGTATTGTGCTTTGTTCTGGTGTATGTGTATATATTGTGCAGCTGATAATGGCCAGTACGCAGCAGCTCTAATGGAATTGATCAAGGAAGGTGTCCAGCTGATACCGTACGGGCGCCTGATAATGTGCGGGCCGGGCCGCACAGGCAAGAGCAGCTTCCTGCGATCCCTCCTGCGTCAAGCATTCATGTCCCAATTCGATAGTACTATCGGTGTGGAGCTGGAGAAGGTGATATGCACGATCGAGAAGCAAGGGTTACAGTATGAATGGAAGCAAGCTGAAAATTCTTACCAGCAGCAGTTGGCCCTGACGCACAGAGCTGTTGGACAAGAGAAACAGAAACGGAAAGCAGCAGCACTGAGACAACCAAGCGTAGAGATCTCGCAGAATGCCAGGTCTACATCCTCAACGACATCAACACCCGTAGCATCGCCATCCTTTGTTACTGAGGCTGAGCAAGTGAATACAGCCAGTGTGGGTGAATCTTCTCTCAGGCAACCTGATGACACCACCGATACCGGGTACTCTGCTCAATCTGCTACCAGTTCATCTGAAACTATGGACTCCCAAAATGTTTCCCCTGCATCCAAGCCAGAGATTTCACCTATGACTGCGCTGAAAGAAGAAACACCAGAGCAAGATGTCCAGCAACTACATACGGAAATCAACTCAGCAACATTGAAGTTCGAAAGCTTCATTGAAGATCTGCGGACAGGCAAAAGCGAAGTTTTCACTGCAGAACATTTCAAGAATTTCACTTTTATGGATGTCTGGGACTTTGCAGGCCAGAAGCTGTTTGCAGCGATCCAACACATGGTCCTAGCCTGTGATCGGTGTGCATATGCTGTCGTCTTTGATGCCTCAAAGAAGCTCCAGGCCAGAGCGAAGCCGACGTTTGGTGTAGATGGTGAGGAACTGCCGCTTTCCAACAACCTGGAGCAGACCAACTTTGATGTCATGGAGACATGGTTCAACGCTATCCACGAGGTCATTGGAGACAGCGACAACGTACCCGTGTTTGCCATTGGCACACACGTGGACAAGTTACCAAAGAATCCAGAAGCAAGGAAGAAGGCAACTGAAGAGATAAAGAAGTACATATGGGCCAATGCAGAGGGAAAAGCATATGCCAACAACATCGACAAGGTGGTATTTGTGGACAACACACGAGCTGGTAAAGATCCGGAAGACCCAGCAGTTGTTCAGCTACGGCAAGACATCATCCAGCAGCTGCAGCATCAGTTCAATGTTCCAATACCAATCCGCTGGCTTCCTGTGACCATTTCCATTGGGCACATTGCAAAATCGTTTGAACGACCATGGTTATCGGTTGAAGAGCTGCGTCGCTTAGCTATTGCTGTTGGTAGCATCTCCAGTGATGAATCTGAGTCCGATTTCCAGGAGATGGTGAAGTTCCACCATGGTCTTGGTCATGTGCTTCACTTTGTTCACAACGCCCGTCTTCGTGATCGTGTGATCATTGACATCCACTGGGTTCTGAAGACTATGTCGCTGCTCTTCTGTCCTGAACCAAAGGATTTGCAGAGCAAACGTCTTCGTCCACAGTACGACTTGCTGACACAGAGTGGCATCCTCCTGGAAAGTCTTGCCATGCACCGCTGGTCACAGCACAATCGCATGACATCACGCTACACGGCCACAGAGGAACAGCGTGATTTCCTGTTTGAGATGGGTGAGCACTTTGCCCTGTTCTACAACACCAAGACAACTGTGAGAGTGCCTGGTCAGAGGAAGGAGGTGACGACTCGCAAGTTCTTTGTACCAGCTCTGGTGGAACGAGTTGCACGTCTTCAAGATGAAGTGAGCAAAGGCAAGCCAAGTCCAGCTATGTACCTGTATAGTGGTGCAGATCGTTACTTTCCACAAACCCTGTTCTGGTGTGGTGTTGTGAGGTGTATGCAACGCTACAGTCCAAAGGTGGATCCAATCCTTTATCACACATCGGCACGTATTCTGGTGAAGGATCGTTTCTGGTTAGTCATGCGATACTTCCAGCATGGCATTCGCCTGTCACTGGAGATTCCTGTTGATGCTCGACCAACTGCTAAGTCTTCAATCGCCAGTGCTCCTTCTGTTGCTGCTACCAGTGGGGGAAAGTCAGTTGAGTCCGCTGGCATTGGAGCTGCTGCAAGTGAGGATGAGTCTGAAGCTATCAAGCTTTGTCACGAGCTTCTACCGTACCTGGAGTCAGAGCTTGACAAGCTGAAGGCATTCTCGCTGACTCATGTGGAGTTTGGCAGAGCTGTTCGCTGTCCGTGCTCATTCAGCCGAGATGTGTGTCGCAAACACAAGCAGAAGTCTTGTGTGGAGATTGGCTGTCAACACTTTGCTCCATTGGTGGAAGGATTGCGTCCACGCTGTACAATCGGAGCACGTCCATCAGTGGATATCAGTGATGTACGGCACTACTGGCCATGCTTTGTCGAAGACATACAGGTAAACAGAAGTCATAATTGTTAAATGGGAAGTATACTGTAAAATCAAATTTTCACCAGTTGTAGTCTTCGGGGTGCTGAGTCGAATGGTCTTGGTCCGAGAAAGCTGAGATGCTCCCTTCCTACTTTATTCCCAATCAAACTCGTCACTTCCACCGAAACTGGGTGACTGCGCCCTACTAGGTGGGATTTTGTCACTAAAAGTGCCACTTCGTTCTTATAAAACACGGCTGACCGAGATTAGCCCAAAAATTATGTTGTAGTCTTTTGGACGCTGAGTCGACTGGTTTTGGTCTGAAAAGGCTGCGATGCAGCGTTGGGCCCATATTCCCAATCGAACACGGTTGAGTAAGTGGTCACGTGCTCATGCATACACCAGTCGCCTGGTCACCAAGCCTGCAGACTACAACTTTCACACCAAGGTTCAACTCAAAGGTTCAAAGGTACAGGTCGAGTGATAGGAACGTGCTTATACAGGCTGTAAGTTGTTGCCTGCAGGCACGGTGACCAGGTGACTGGTGTACGCATTAGCACATGGCCGCTTGTTCAACCGTGTTCGATTGGGCATAAGGGACGAACGCTGCATCGCAGCCTTTTCGGACCAAAACCAGTCGACGCAGCGTCCAAAAGACTACAACCTATGGGCCAATCGTGGTCATCCGTGCTTTTATAGGAACAAAATGGCGCTTTTAGTGACATTTTGCATACAAATCCCCATCTAGTGGGGCGCAGTCACCCAGTTTCGGTGGAGTGGCGAGTTCGATTGGGAATACAGAAGGAATGGAGCATTTCAGCTTCCACGGACCAAGACCATTCGACTCAGCATACAGCCAACCTGAGAGTATGTACCAGGCCAGTACATGTCAGGAAAGTGCTGGCCTGAGCCAGGGCAATCTTTTTATATCAGTTGCCCTGATCTGGAAGTGTTTTTAAATCTACCGGCTCCCACACCAAACAATCACACTGTACTCTAACCCAAACCAGTGTAGGTAATATTGCACAATACAGCATTCACTCGCTGGCTCAGGGTTTGCTGTTTCCATGACAACCACCTTGTGACGAGAGGCACTGGCATGCAGGTACATGACTGTCATGATTCTTAATAGGTTTTTCGAGAACTGTTTCAACAAGCCCATTATACACAAATCTTTGAGAAATTACTTCCCCCGCGCGTGCATCTCTCTATGTGCTCGATTCCCGAAATGAGTGCCAAATTTCCCTGAAAATGAGAGAAACCGTATTTTGCATATAGAAAACAATAGCAATAGAAACATTATGAATCGATGTTGACAAATGCAATGGGGCTTACAAGTCCTATACCACAACCAGGCCGGGGTCATGACAGCGCTGAATTTACTATCCAATTGTAGTCCTCCCTCGTTAGTAGATAATCTCTGGGCCATCGAAAAATCTTATCTTATAACGAGACTTATCTTGTAGCAGGACTTGCAGCTTAAGGTGAAATAGGCACTACTTCGTACTTACCTGGGCTACCCTCGATACAACATAAATTATCGATGCTTCAACTCGTTATAAGATAATTGAAAATCTCCAACATAACTCTTCCTTGGATGCAAAGGATCGTCCATATTCACGACATAGATATATTATGTTTGTCTTTCTGCTTTATCCTACGTGTTTTGGCCTTGGTCCTGCATGGTCAGTATTATCTTGTACTGAGGGTTTGGCACTCCAGGGACCTGGGCAAAGGGTCGTTATAACGAATTTTATGAACTAACGGATTATGTTGTAACCGGACTTGTAAACAGTTGTATAGACCACGTTTCGCCTGGGGATTTCAGATTTCTATTTACTAACGGGGTTTATGTACTAACCGGACTCGTTATAATGAGGGAGGGCCTGTATCTAGTTTTGTATGGATCCATGCACATTTGAGTTGTTTCCTTCTCCGTAGGGTGACAAATCTGCCCAAACTGACTGGACTGCTACCAACCCCAACCCCCCCCCCCCTGGTAGTGGGGACCAACTTCAGGCACTGAATCCAATTCAGTACACCTGCACTTGACACAATGAGGGCCTACCTGCCAGATATGTATTTTACTATGGCCGGAGTTGATCCCTCAGAAGTCGTTATCTGTTTATCTGTTGAGTTTTGACTTCAACATTTTTAATCCTGTACAATTCTAGAGTAAAGGGATGGGGGATTGGCTGGTGTAATTGATTTTCTTTGTCTGCATACTACATTGCTGTGTTTCATTGATTCTCTCCAGACCCCAGAGCTTGCTGATCCTGAGAAGCCAATGCCGGCAATGCCAATGACAGTTGTAGAGCCCGCAGTGAAGGACAGTGGTGAGATGATTTCAGTAAAGTGTGCAGTTTAAAATATACCCTGGAAAGTACAGTGTTGCTCAATGAAATCCAGTCATGTGAATCAAGTACAGTGCGTATCGGTTATAGTGTGGTCGTATACAAGAATATACTGCTTACAAGAATGAACACTCATTTTTTCATAATCATAACACATATTTTATGTGTATGTTTATTCTTACAAGCAGTATTATCGCATAGTAGAATATATCGGCCCTAAGAATGGATTTTGTGTAGCAAAATATGCCAGATTAGTGCAAAGTGTATCGCCTGTAGTAATAACATCTGTGCTCTGTGCATACTCAATACAATAATATTCAACACAAAAGAGAGTTATGTCCAAGGCCGCATTGGAGAATCACTTTTTTCTGTCCAGTCGGACTCTTTCCTCCGACTTCTCTCGCATCCGCTGCTCCGCAGTCGCCTAGTACGACCGCGAGTCTGATTGATCCGTGTGTATCATGTGTACGTGTCCACATGCCAAACGTGCGCGCATATGATATGTCACACGTGATTTATCGCGTGTAAGAAATATCGGCAATAAGAATCAAATGTCGTTTTTCAAACACCCACGCTATAACCGATACCTACTGTACATGCCTGGGCGGTGTGCAACCCTAGACCTGCGAACACTGGTTTGTGACCTGGTGCAGTGCAATGACTGCTTGTGTCACACGATCGGATTTCATCGAGCACGCACTGTGGAATACGCCAAAAGAATTATGCATGTGATGAACTGCTCCCGTAGGTGCCTTAGGATGTTGGTGCTACCCAAACTTTCCAGTTGGAAGCCCTTTTCAGATCTCACATTCCACCGGTGCACTTATGTAGCGTTACCATCGAACTCTTTCTACCTCCTTGCATTTCCTGTTTGCCCTTCAGGACTATCGCATTCTGATACTGTTGCGTAACTCTCTCCTTTGTCCATTTTGGGACATCACATTCCTCTAATGTTGCATCTGATCGCTTTCACATGTCCGGTTCACGATCTCGTGCATTTTATGGCGACTCTTTCTTGTCCTCATACGCACTGTGGTCTTTGGTTCACTCAGGCAATGTACCTCCTCCGAGTCCTTAAAATTGTCGCTTCGTACATCGCAATGTTTGTGACTTGCTCTTCTTAGTCAGAGTGTCGGAATCGCTGTTTTCTGTGTTCGAACATTGGTGCGACTCAACCTGCGCAATGTCTACTTGTTACGGAAGCAGTGGTGGTCTCGGACTTTGGCAGAGCTCTCTTCCGCACCAAACAAATTCATCGCGCTCTGCACTATTCGGCGCCAGAGCGCGTATCGTTTTCTGGAGTTCGTTCCGTTCCACATCGTTCGCGCGGGCATTTATCAAAACTGCAAGCTCTCCTATACGAATCCTGGTATTTCTCCTGAATACAATATGCTGAAGTTGACGATGGCAAGAACAAGGTGTTTTCAAATTCCTAAAATGCGGTATACGTGTGGCGCATGTTGCTGTGAAGGTAGCAGGTCTGAAAACAACAACAAAATCAACGCAGCGCTTGCCAAGGAAAGAAGTTGCGGAACTGCTTACCGTATCCCGCCGGAAGGTCATCACAGTGTACTCGACAAATGCTAGTTTGCCATCATCGCCTGCCACCAGGAGGCATTGATAGCTTGAACACGAAGTTTCTTGGCCTGAATTTCAACGCAAGTGTTGTTCAGCATCTTGTTGAGTGCTGAAGGGTCTGCCTCAAACTCTGATGAAGACGTTTACGTTAGCTGCAAGTGCAGCGAAGCGGCAGGCCACAAACTAAAGCTTGGTTCGTCGACAATGCCCTGCCTCAATTTCTAGCCGATTTCTTTGCGCTTCGAGTGGACAAAATATATTTGAAAAATCGGTCTGGGAAGCGACAATTTTAATGACGCGGAGGAATTACATACTGTCACCTATATCGTCTTGGCTCTTTGCTTCTGCTCGTTTCAACTTAGCTCTTTCCTTCACCCATCATTTCATCCACATAACTAGTAGGTCCAAAGTTACTAGTACACTGTACTTGAAAGCAGAGTGTATGTAGTATTGGGTTGGTCACAGCTTGGGTTCCACAACATTCATGTTTGTGTTGTTACAGTTGTACATGTAGTACCCCACTTCAAAGATTGTTTCTAACGTTATGGCGTTCTCTTGTTTTCTTTATTTTTTCCATGTAGAATCGGCTAGAGGAGAGCACTTGGCACTGGCCACGGCCACGGCATATCACAGAGCATTACGCAAACACTACACGGGAGTAAGGCGCTGCCAAGACATTAACGTGGTCGACTGCATGGGCAGTTTGCGAGCCGAAGGTCATGTCAGTGATGATTGTGTGAAGGAAGCGAGAGCTCTGATGAAGTCAAGTGGACACACTGTGGCTTTGGATCACCTGTATTGTGTGCTGGAGGAGCTGTCGGACGAAGGCATGTGCTACTTTGTGGAGAGTGTCCTACCATTTCAAGGTCTGTCCAAGCTGGTGGAAACATTCCAGGCTTGTCCCGGTCCTGGAAAGTGCACTCTGAAGCACCATGATCTCCACACTGCTCGCAATGCTGATGTCAAAGGGAAAGTGTTGGATGGAGCTGACACTGCAAGTGCTACACCTTCTTCACTGAAAGACAAGGTGCAAACCGGGGTAAGAATGGATCAATTTTTGCTTTTGTTTTGGAGGTATCATCGGGTAGTATGGTACCCGCGCGACCTGTAATGGGAGCAGGTTGTCGGTTAGCAGTTAGCAGTGTGCGCCTAAGAACTCCTTTGGATAGTTGGAGTACGGTGTTTGCACAATGGTGCATGTACTTGTAAGTATCGTCGAGGGGTGTATACCCGGACGATAGGCTGGCACGAACAACATAAGAAGCACAGCTACTTGCTTACTGTACATTTCTCTATGTAGCGGAAGTGCACACTCACTGTACAAACGCATTGTGGCGATCCCGCTCATGCAATGCCATGTTACTCGTACTATGTAAAAGATACCCAATAGGGTACCCGTACTACCAAGATAGAAATGCCCGAACTCGTTACCCGATCAAGCCCCTAACCGTTGCAGCCCTACTTTTGTTAAGGTTTCCTCCAAAAAATGTATTAAGTACTGGTAGAGAGCCAGTTGTCTAAATATTTCCAATGTTGTGGCTACTGCATGGGAAAGAGTGAACACCTGCATGTCAGTAGAGATCAGGTGCATGTTTTCCTCTTTTGTTAGTTTTCAGTTTTCCAGGCAAACATGTCCAGGTCTTTCTTCTGGGTGAGATTAGTTGCATTTATTTTCCTCTTCATGGCTCACGAGAACATTGGTGATCGAAAAGTAGGTACCGTAAAGTCGCGGATAAAAGCCGGGTTTGCATACAAGCACATCGCGGATAGAAGCCTGAAAATCAATCGGGTCAAATGCATATATTAAAGCCTGTCGCGCGTAGAAGCCTGGCTTCTACGCAAGCGCGGATTGGGTGAGTCAAGAGTGCATGCGCTATGTACGGTGCATAGTAAAACTGTCGCCATACCGGTAGTCAGTGGTAGATCTACGCGTGTCGCGCATAGAAGCCTGGCATACAAGCCTGGCAAAAATATCAGTGGTGCATATAAGCATGGTTTGCATACAAGCCTGGTTTGCATTAAAGCCTGATGCAGAAAGCGGCTTATGTGCTTATAAGCCCGGCTTTTATCCGCGACTTTACGGTACATCATAAACGTTCTCACAAAGCATGATGTATAAATAATATGTTGAAAATGCCCTAATTCCCTCACTAAAGAAATTATCCAACTGGTTTGCTTATGTTCTGCACTAGATGTCTGAGCTTCACCAGGAAGTGCTGCGTTCAAGCTATGTGGAGTTGAAGTGTAGTTTGGACGTAGAAGAGGGCATTCTGGACCGTCTCTATGCAGAGAGCATCATCACAAAGCGCTTCTGCAAGAAACTCCGTGCTATGGATGATCGTGAAGATCAGGTAATGCTTGTGTTGATGTGTAATTACTACCTATGGTGTATTCATTTAACTACTAGCAGCCACTGCTACGTATCACACAGCATTTCTCTTTCATATGAAGAAGAAACATTTGCAGGGGCACTGGAAATCGGAACCAGCACTGCCGTCTCAATGTCGATACCTTTTTATTGAGCACCGATTAATTGTATCCTTGCAGAAGTGGGGAATGTAAGAATTCTTTTGCATGTCAAGCTTTCATACTTGGTAATTCGTGCAAAAAGTGACCAATGGCAGCAGACTAAACGCAAGCATGATATTTTGCATGTACACTCAAACGTCCCTTGCCTGGCCTGTGCGGGTGACCTCACCCGTAACTGCCGACTGCTGCTACTGTAAGTCAACCAATATTCCACGCATATTTATTTTCACCTATTTTCGGCCTGGGCATAATTGGCCGAAAAATTGTTGCAGCCAAAATTTTGTGTTGCAAGGTTGAGTGTGACAGTGTATACAGTCAGCAGCAATGCAGGCCGAAAATTTGATGTGGCTGAAATGTGTTTTAACCCTGGAAGGCCGGAATTTCGATGGGCTGAAAATTTGTAGACTTACAGTATCTGAGAATAGTAATCCTGAGCATCAATCAAATCATGTTCTGTTTATCAACCCGTTGACAACAGTCTCCAATTTCAAAGCTGCAAGGAGTGCAGGTACATTGCGATTAGCTCAAAGTAGAGCTGCTGTTAGCTCAAAGTAGAGCTGCTGTTAGCTCAAAGTAGAGCTGCTGTTAGCTCAAAGTAGAGCTGCTGTTAGCTCAAAGTAGAGCTGCTGTTAGCTCAACGTAGAGCTGCAATGCTAAATGGATGTAATATAGCGCAAGGCAGAGGCGCAGCAAATAGCTAGATAGCACCAGTTGTGAGAGTGTACCCATGAAACCAGCACTCCGTTAATTAAGCACTATTGACGCACAGCAAGGGTCAATTAATGTCAGCACAGGCAAGCATTGTGCAGCTAGAGTTCAGTAGCTTATTACTCACGCGAGTCGGGCATCATGGCATCCATGACACGGCAGCAAGCCGGGACGATAGCTGGCGTTTAGCGCTTGTTGTAGTCCGGATGAAGCATAGACACGCATCGCTCTTCCACTGACCTGCCACCTCTATGTAATGTCGGTGTGTCTGTCTGTCTGTCTTTCTTGGACAGGCATCAGACTTCCTTCATGCTCTGCCTGGCTGGGGCTCTACAGCATTCCGTCACTTTGTCACTGCACTGGACAAGAGTGAGACCCTTGTTCACCACGAGCTTGCGGAGATGTTGAAGAACAAGCTACTGGAATAGATAACAGTGGTTATCCAATGGTTAGTGTTGACCAATTCACACCACATAGACATAGTTATATATCAGGGGCGTAGCACCCGCTACGACTGGTACGACCATGGCCGTATCAATTTTCGAAAAGTGTGGTCCGTCCGGAACGTGCAAAACCGTAAAAAAAAATCAGGATCTATCGATGCATATGCCCATCAGACTTTGACCTTTTTCTAGACTTGTACTCGTAGATCTGCCATGCATCTGCAGTCGTACTGAGTACTGTACTCGACTCGACTGCACAGTCGAGTCCCAGAACGCAGGATTTTGTGTCTTTTTTACAAAATGTTCTCAGGGGGGGGGGGGGGGTTGGAGGGGGGTCCCCGGACCCCCCCCTCCAAAACGGCCTTCCGCTGCACCCACCTTCGGTCGCACCACTTCCACAACCCCTCCTACGCCCCTGTATACCATGGAGTATATCCTGCGATTGTTGCTTCAAAATCTGTCTATTAGAACTCCGTAGAAGAAAGTATGTAGCTCACGGACCAGGACCGGCACCACAGGTATTGCGGGTACAGCCATAGGCGTGCAAGTTTTAATGAATTCTAGCTTTGCATGCAATGCCCAGCGTTCAATTTGTTATGAGGAAGTCTTACTAAGCTTTCTTCCTGCCCTCAGCCTCACTGGAATATCTCCATCCTAAAATGGTCTTCTCGTCCAGTGAGGCGTACTACTGTGCTAGCTGTATATCTGTTACTAGCGGAATGTGTAGCTGAAAAAACCCAGAAGTGAATATGTTGCAGCCGCACAGAGCAATGTATTTACTAATCAGTGTGCATCTTCCCATCACACTGAAATCAGGTTTGAGAAAATGTAGGGCCATGTAGCCCACCTGGCGGGGGGGGGGGGGCATACCGCCGATCAGGAGCTGGCTCCGATCCTGTAGTGTAGACCCTCACATTGCTGACCAAACTGAGGTGGTGAAGTCATTCACAGGCTCGAAACGACAACGAATTACTCCAAATTTGTCCACAAGCTATCAAGTGTTTGCATTGAATCTGCATTCAAAACTAGCGTCCACTACCAACTAACGACTCTAATGGTAACCCTTGTTAATGTAGGGACAAGAATTTTCTTGTAGGTGTGGGAGGGGTTGTGTTCATCAAATGTTCCACGTTAACACCCCCCCCACACACACACACACACTCACACCCAAAACCTACTGTGAATATGTACCGGTACGATGGTGACACAGTCTGATATTGTTCACATCGTACTGCTCTGTCCCATGTACATATTTCTGGCTGCAGTAAATCTGAGGTGTCCGTGTTCATCACAGTGTAGAAACTGATACCCCGATGATCATCATTGTCCTATCATTGTTCAGACATAGCCGTTATCCTTCTTGTGACTTGCTCTCCGACCAGACATTTTATCTGAATTTAAACCATGACCTATTATTTTCTCCTGTTCTGCTCTCATCACAGCTCACGGCTGCTTGAGCATCCACGTACTCTTCTTCTGCGCTGCTCAGTTCTGTGTTGACACGGAGGTTGTGCAGATCATCGAGCCGGGTGGTGAATGCCGAAGACAATTTCCAATGCAGGATCTGTTCTGAGTTGCATCTTTCTTGCATGTGTGAACTGTGCTGGGTAGGTGATATTGCCAGCATTGCTCACTCTACCAGGTATCATGCCTTTTGCAATTAGATTTGTGAAATTTGTAAAACAATATGCTAGACATAGCGATCTATTCACTTCTAACACTCTATTGCTGCTTTCACTAAAATATCACAGTATGCACTTTGCCACTTTATTGTTGATATCCTTTACTGATATTCAAATGAGGATAAGAGGTCCTCCTCTTCAACTCTGTAAAATTGATATACTATTATTGCACACTGCATTGTGTATGCACATCAGCCGGGAGTCGTGCCCAAACCACTCCCTGATGCGTATCGTATATGCATGGTGACCTCAGCCCACATTTGATACAGATATTGATATTTTGATTTCCGATTATGAGTCCTGCCACCGTTTAGTTATTTTCTTGAGCAGCACAGAGAGCTGCTAGAACGCTGGTTCAGAGCCTTTGTGATCATTTCTCATCAGTGGGATTCCATGGAAATATTTTGAATGATTCGATCTGAATTTGTATGCTCCAGTTACAATCCATTGGAAGTTGACGTGTTCTTTTTGCTAATTAGCATCATAACACAGTTCTCCATAGTACTCATAAAAATTCGGTCACTTTTCATCATGTTATGTTCAGAACCCAAATGCTCAAGATTCACTGTTAGGTGAGAGAGTTGAAGGGAACGAAACTAAAAAGTCTGAGAAAAATTGGCTGTCACCACCAGTACTCAAACCCGGGACCTTTGCTTGAGGCCAGCAATGCTCTAACAACTGAGCTATGGTGCCGGTGGCGGTTATCCCTCCGGAGACCGTTCAACATAGACTAATGCAAATAGATGTATTTGTCACAGTTGCCATGCAATGACTTTGTGCCGTTTCGGCACTGTGTAATGTCCATTGCTTTTCCTCCTGGCAGTGACTGAGTCCCTGGCCCTGGTTGTACTGGGTGAGGAAGCAGCAAGGACAGGTCAGGGTTGTATAGCACTGCCATTTCAGGTACTCCGGCCAAATGGGTCAGATGCATGACCATAAATGGACATTATTGACGCAAACCGGCCCCATTTTCATGGTTCAAGCATTTTCAAATTAAGGTTCAGGCTGGACCAGCCGGACCGCTAAGGCCCAGGCCGGGCCCAGACTTGATTGGGCTAGGCGCTCAGTAGGCTCGGTTTGCAATGCAGTAGTTTTGTCATCCGGACATCTCCAATTAATATTTTGCCATCGAGACAGGTGAAGGCGTATCATGTCACGTGATCACGGCACAGCTAAGTAGCAAGTCGCAAAATAAATAAAAACATTCTTGTGGTCGGATGATTATTAATTTTATGATGATCGATCCGGATCCGGCACGTGATCATGGTGATCGTGACACGAAGCGCAAAGCACGAATCGTAGCAGACTCACTACGGAGGATTAGCAAGACGAAATTCGCGTTCGCGTTCGTAAACATTTTTCAGTTCGCGAACTGCATTGCGAACTTTCGCATTTTTCGTTCGGAAAAGTAGTCGGAACACGAATCGCGGATTCGTGTCAGGGCAGTCATAAATTTACCACGCTGTACTGTCTGTAGACAATGTACGTCGTGTCAACGTCATGCACGTGCGAATTCTGTTTGCTAATCCTTCTCATAATATAATAACGCGAATTCCGTCACTGAGTTCGACTTTCCTTGGAGAGCGAACGCGAACGCGAATTTCGTCTTGCTAATCCTCCGTACTGAGTGCGTTCGATTGTGCATTCAAGTCGTTCGATTTTCACGTCATGAGCCCTGGAATCGATTGACTCCATTCACTCTATTCACATGATGGGGTGATGTGAACAGCGCGAATCGATTCGCGTGCATAATCGAAAGCACTTACTAGATCTACCAGGCCAGGGAGTCCGTAAATGGGTTTTCCCCACTCCCTGGCCTGCCCGAAAGAATAAATCTAATCTCAGTGATCTGGCACGGCCCGGCGCGGCGGGCGGTGTTGCACTGTTGGTTTACCGAGTCTGTGCACAGCTAGCCAAGAATGCAAGATGGCAAGAATGTGATTGTGAGAGTGAAGAGGTTTTTTGCTCATCCTTGGACCTTGACCAAACAGAACCAGACCAAGGTCACAGAGGACACGCATTAGTTTCTCTCTTTCACTAGTCGGAATCCTGTTGAGTGCCATACTAGATAACAGCGTATTGGGTCGTGTCGGTGTTGGTACGTAACGTTCACTCGAGGAGTGAAAGTCAGCGGTGACGGGGTGCGCTATCGAGTCAGGGTGATGTGGTGAGAATAACTGACTGCACCGGAAACGAAGCTGCTCTATTTCTGCAGCAATCCACGGCAAGGTACAGCCTGAGAATGAATTTCTTGTAACAGTACATTCTGTTATTTTAGGAACATCATTTTCACATCGACCGTGATGTAGTCGCTGCACGCATGCAACACTAGTATCATGATAATATTATTATGATGTGTTCAAAATACTACTTGTAGTAACCCCAGTACATGTACATCATCGTAACATGATTGTGTATTCCATGGCTGTGATTTAGTAGCTTTGTTCTTGGAGCAGCTGTTGCTGCGACCCTGCAGTTCATTGTTGTTGTTGTTGTGGTGTGTACGAGAGAGTCGAAAAGAATGTGTATTCCATGGCTGTGATTTCGTAGCCGGAAAAGGGATATGATTATGAAAAGTGGATCTGGTGCATGGCTAGTACATGTACATGGTTATTGATGTCATTCAGAGCTAAAAGAAACCACAATGGCGTACAACTACCTACAAAGTATCTATCCAATTTTGTGGCAGAAGATTTTCTGCAGCGCGCAACGTGATGTAAATGTTGAGACGGGCAGAAACGCGGCGATTGCCTGCATCATAGGCTTGGTGATAAGCTTCGTCCTTGCCCAAGGTGCGATCAAAAACGGCAAAGTCAAGGGGAGGAAAGTGGAGATTGCTTGTTGAGGGATTGAAGAAAACCGTTAACGCCAATCGTGATGTTAACGAGTCGATCCTTTGCTTGTAGTTGTGTACTTCGTATACTACTACATTATGTTGGTTTAAGGCAATGTACAGTTGCGCAGTACTGTTGCTTGTTGGTGCAATATATTATAACAGTGGAAATTGGTCAGAGAGATGTCCTCAGTGTCCCATTTTGCCTCCAAAGTCTAGATTTAACCTCTCACCCAGTCACCTGGACTACTGTGGTGTCCAACAAAGACACTGAGTGGAGCTAGTTCATGTATGAGTACATTGTGTTATGGTTTTGAGAGTGTGTTCTGCGTATGGTCAGTCTGCTACTCGTAAACCATGGCTGTGCACGGGTTGATATTGGTGCGATAACAAAGTTGTATTCCAACGTTTACAAATTCAAACGGCCCACAAGAATTTCAAGTATTTCAATGTAAAGCAATGCGTATTTTATTGTGTTTCAAGTGTCAGAAACGGTGTGTGTTCTTCATGCATGCCACAGCTCCTTTCGAACGATCGGAAGCTTAGTGATACATGTAACTTCACGTTAGGGTTGTCATCGGGTGGTAGAGTACCCGTGCTACCCGTAATGAGAGCGGGCAGCAGTTTGCGCCTGAGAACTCGATCGCGTAGTTGGAGTGCGGTGTTTGCACAACGGTGCATGTAAGAGGTACAGCTACCTGCTTACTGTACATTTCTCTATGTAGCCGAAGTGCACACTCACTGTACTAACACATTGTGGTGATCCCGCACACTCACTGTACTAACACATTGTGGTGATCCCGCACATACAATGTCGTGTACCAATGTATTCGTACTGTATATCCATGCTAACTGGATAGAAATACCCAAACTCGTTACCCGATCAAACCCTACACGTGGCAGCTCTACTTCAGTTGTCCCCAAAATAAAATCACTACTTGGCAGTTCTATGGAGTGATTCTACCCCTGCATCGTACAATAAGATCAACTAACTGTCTGTGACTGGTATACGACTACATCATCATTTTTGTTTGTTTTCTGCATGGGTGTTGTACCACAAAGAAAAGTACTGTATTTAGTTTGCCACTCCATACAAGGCGTGCATGATGATGTCATCCGCATAGCTTCTATCCGTTGGTGCCTTGTCGTGTCAATAGTTCCTGTTTCAGACTTCTTACAGCTAGTTGAATCAAAACACATGATTTAACATACTATGTACATAGCAATGGTCAAAGTTAAAAAATCTCAAACCCTACCATGGCCAGCATGCGCCTCTGCGAATCTCACATGACCATGTTTGCCATGAAAAGCCAGAGTGAAGGTGTTAAGCCGCCTCTGTCTGCAACAACCTTCGTAGCGACCCACCACTTCCCTGGCTGGCCTGGTCAGTACCAGGGACCACTGACGGCAATCCTGTTCCCCTTGTGTTTACACTCTACCTGCGTCCGTATGTGTGCTGTGTTAGTATTATTATTTAGTGAAGACATAGTTATTACCGTTCATCTGCGAAGAAGAGGTACAGCACCATTGTGTTTGTTAGCAGCTTTGTACACTGTAGTCTCCCGGGCAGCATACCTTTGTCCCAGAACCAAAGAAACTAGACTTGTTGAGTATCATCTACTCAAGAAACCAGTGTCGGTTCGTGTGTCCGTCGGTGACTAGTGAAGTCTGAACAACAACATCACATTGTTGCGTTGTCTTCTCTCGAGTCAGCGTGATGTGTTGATCATAAGCCACTAACTTAGTGCGACTTGTGCTGGAAAACCGAAGCTACACTGTATCTGCAGCTATCCAGTATTTACGGTAAGGTACAGTGCATGTATACACTCTGTAAAAATAAGAGCCAGGATAGACCTTGAACGTTAATACTTGAAACCTTCAAGCAGTGCAGTCAGTTATTTCCAGGCTGGCAAGATGGGTTGGAGTTATCCTATTTGGAGAATAGATTTAGATTTTCAAGATGTGAAGAAAACCCGTGTTAACGATACCTACATGTAGTTGTATTGCAAGTCAAATTCACTCTATGGAACGTACTACAACAGTAGTGCAGAGATACAGGGAACTGACAACGGCAAAAGATAATGCGCTACACAACTTCACAAGGGCCATCGCAGCTCTATTGACGTCATGCTTGAGAAGAGCCTTGATCCTTGAAGGGTGGTGGTGTTCCTACGGATGCGGAAAACTCGGCCTTTAGCCGAGTCTGACGCGAACCGTGATTGTTTTAGAAGAGTGTTCAACTGCACTTGCTCAGACCATTGACCCTCAACACTGTCCTCAAACTGATGCATACTTCCCCTGTACTGAAGTAGTTGTAAATTCGTCTCTACTGTAAGACATGTAATTATAACGAGGAAGTAAATCTAACGTTTTAACGGGTGGGATTTTTTCGTTAAAATACGTTCTGTTTAGGCTCTAATGCCTCATATGTGTTATGTGTTATGATATGCCTGAAGACCGCAAGATCGTTAACGTATCTTCTCGTTAACCTATGAATTTTGGACAATCGTTAAATTTGCG